ATATACAGGGTCCTGCAACAGTGGCGCGGTGTTCCATATCTCTATATAGGAAGCAGATAGGAATCTAATTTTCTATAATATTACCTTATTGCTCGAGCTCGACAAAATAAAAATATTGGCGGTCACACAGGGTGTTCGATTTTTTCTGGGCGGATCCCAACTGTGTCTTTTTAAATGGCAACCTATATTTTTTATCGTTTTTTCGGTTTCTACATAGAAAATAAAAGACACTTTATGTATATCTTCACTTCGAAAATTTTTACGGTTTTCGAGGTATCTAGCATGACAGGTTTTTTTTCCAATATTCGTCACTCAGAATATTTGAAATTATAAAGTTGTGCCAATTCCAATTGTATTTATTTCTTGGTCAGATATTCTACAGTGGTAACTCTCTCAAACGATATATCTGAAGTCGACCTGTGATATACAGGGTATGAAAAAACGCTTGTAGATAAAAATTTGCAGAATCATTCTTATTTTAAATGGAACACCCTGCATATTATTGATCCATAAGGAGCGTCAACGAAACCTCTACAAATTTCATTAATTATTCCCTATGCCTAGGTTCAATAGTTTTTCTTAAAAAACCATTTTTTTTGAAAAATAGTCGTTCTTCCTATGGCACAAATTTCGGGATTATTGAAATTATTGTAATTATTCAAGAACGTACATTTTGCGGTGTAATTTAAAACTTGTTTATCTAGCAACAGCTAATTTTAGGCATGGGGCGATATTTTAAGGAAAGGCTTGGACAAAAACTATGCATCAAATGAAGAAATTGCACGGTGTTCTATTAAGAGAATAAATGTGTTATAAACATAATATATATCTCGATCACAGTCGTCACATATGGATTTCACAGTAAAAAAATCATTGATATTATGGCGATACAATAAAGAGTTGTCATTTTTAGAAAAAAATAAAAATAAAAAAAACTATAGGACACGCTATCATGTACAAAACTGAAACGAAATATCTTTCGTACATTCTTCAGTCGTCAAATGGATTTCGCTTTGAAAAAAGTCGAGTTTATGGCGTAGAAATAGGAAGAACGATCATTTTTCGAAAAAAAATGCTTTTTTAAGAAAAACTATTGAACCTAGCAATAGGGAATACTGATGAAATTTGTAGAGGTTTCGTTGGCGCTCCTTATGTATCAATAATATACAGGGTGTTCCATTCAAAATAAGGAAGATTCTGCAAATTTTCATTTACAATATGTGGCAAGCGGTTTTTCATACCCTGTATATCACAGGTAGATTTCAGATAAATCGTTTGAGAGAGTTACCAATGTAGAATATTTGATAAAAAAAATCCAATTGGACATGGCACAACTTCATAATTTCAAATATTCTGAGTGACGAATATTGGAATAAAAAACCTGTCATGCTAGATATCTCGAAAAACGTCAATATTTTCGAAGTAAAGATATACATAAAGTGTGTTTTACTTTCTATGTAGAAACCGAAAAAACGATAAAAAATATAGGTTGCTATTTGAAAAACACAGTTGGGATCCGCCCAGAAAAAATTGAACACCCCGTATGACCGCCATTATTTTTATTTTGTCAGGCTCGTGCAATAAGGTAATATTATAGAAATTTAGATTCCTATCTGTTTCCTAAATTGAGATATGGAACACCGCGCCACTGTTGCAGGACCCTGTATACATATGTCCAAAGTACAATAAGTACACATAATATCATCAACCGATATTTTCTCATTCCACAGAGTGTCCAGTAACGCACATGAAATGCAAAAACCACAGGTGTGTCCCCAAAAGCACATTCTGCAATAGACAAAATGACTGTGAAGACAACAGTGACGAACCGGATATTTGTTCCTGTAGAACTTACCTGGAACTGGCTAATTCCAGCAAAATATGTGATGGAATCATAAATTGCTCAGACAGGAGTGATGAAGACCCTGAACTTTGCTCTTGTCAGACCAACAGCTTTCGATGCGTCAGGTAAGTGATTCACGTATTGTGTATACAAATCGAATTTCACAATGAGGATTACTTTTTATCTGTCAAATCCATGAACAATTGATGATTTTTGACATCAAAATATTGAGTATGTTAGAATTCAATCATTAGGGTTTCAATCTATAGATCTGTACCATAGAGGCAGTAGCGAATGTCCATTTCCCAGGATTTATATGAATAATAGACATAGTTTGTAAATAAAAACATATTTTTTCATCGACCTTTTTAGGGTATTTTTTACCTTCCACAATCTGAAAAATATAAAAATTATAATGGAGAACTTTATACAAGTGTAGAAAGGGCAAACTTTTCAGTTCACCCCGATTAGTAACTGCGTGAAATCAAAGTATTTTTTACAAAGAAAAATGTTATATTTATCAGTAACTTGTCGTATTCAACAATTTTTGCCATCAAAAAAACTGCTAAGAAATAATTCAATACTCATCTTCACGTTTCGGAGGCCAAAGTCTGCCTCCGTCTTCAGAAATGGACAAAAAAATTCTTTTGATCATTATTTCTTAACTTTTTCGAGAGATGTCACAGGAGTTTTGAAAATTTTTTTCTGAAAAATTTGACAGTTACAGCACCACTCCGAAAAAATCATAACTCATAGACAGTAACAGTTGAAAATGTAAAATTTCACAGAATCATACCTTAAGCATCAAGTCATAAACAGGTCGAATTTTAGAAAATAATTTACAGGATGGTCGAAATTTCCACCTAAAACTTAACATCGAGAAAACTGATTAAACATGATTTTTTCAAATGGAAACCATACTCTATTCTATTATTTTTGGATACTACGAAAAAAAATATATCAAATTCATGAAGAATGTCCTATACCTAAAATTGATTTGAAAATCTTTCTGCCAAAACACGAATGATTTACATTTCAAATATTTACCAAAATCGGATATATATTGCCAGGGGAGTATTTTAGGTATACGACATTCTTCATGAATCTTTTTTTTCGTAGTATACAAAAATAATAGAATAGTGTATGGTTTCCATTTGAAAAAATCGTGTTTCATCATTTTTCTCGATGATATAATTTAGGTGGAAATTTCGACCACCCTGTAAATTATTTTCGGAAATTCGATGGACCTGTTCATTACTTGATGCTTAAGGTGTGATTCTGTGAACTTGAACCGGAAGTTGAAAATATTTTAGTTAAGAAGGCCATTTTGTAAAACCCACTATCACAAAATTTCAAGTTTATATTTTGAATAGTTCTCCATATATTCCTAACGAACGCTCGTCGTGAAAGACCCTGTATATATAACTTGCGTTGCCGAAGTGTAGATTTTATTTCTGAGGCCATTTTTCCTAAGCTGTTTATGATCAATTACTACATGTTGGGCTATATTCACCAAACCTTCAAATCGAATGATCTATTCCAGCTTGATATTTGTAAAATAATAATTCTTGTTAAATCAAAATTGAAACTATTCTCTTTTTAATGAATTTTGTTAAATATATCTTGTAGGTTGAGAAACCTGCATAACATCAGAATAACCATTTGAAACCAATTCTTAGAATGTGTGTCGGAGAGAATAAAAATACTCTTGTTAAAAAAGGAATTTATTAAAACAATGTTTTCAAATTCAAAGTATCAGTTTTGTATACAGAAAATATATGAATTAGGGTTTTATTAAAATATAAAATCACAATGTTCATAGCAAAAGTTTTTCAAAAATTTTTTTTCTCAACTACTATTTAAATTTGAAATCTATTTTTCTTTTCATAACTTCATTAGTCAAAATATAAATTCTGATTCGTCGCAGTCATTCAGTTGACAGATTCATGATTCATTTTTGGATTTCAAACTTCCATTTGTGTTCCTGGAAACGTGAGTTCCAATACATGATTTTCAACTTCATATGGGTTTCGAAAATTAAATAACTTTTAAAAAACCGCTAGTGGCGGTTGATCAGACATTTTTCAATAAAAAATATTTTTGTCAGAATGTATATAGGATTCGTCAAACCCAAAGTTAGTAACGGAATGTTTTCGGTGACTAGTGAATGATTATTCACTGGGTCCGGTGCCATTTCCGTTACTGTCAAAATGACTATCTTTCGCGTCAGTAGTGCTGGGTTGACAAGTACATATGGTCACCTCAAGAGAGGGGGGAGTATTTTCTTTATGAGGTATAAGAGTTTTTCTAGATTTACAGTGTTTGCATACTTGCTCAATGGTGACGGACCAGTCTGGTTTACGCTCATTTTCGGGTGACACCTTAAATCTTTTTCTGGTTTTCTCTTTCAAACATTTGCCAATATCTTCACTCGTATTTTTGGTGCCTAACTCATTAAAATATTTTCTTATAATTGTATCTATACCTGCGGTTGCATTTCCATTCGAATTCTCGTTGGTATTCTTATCTAAACTTTTGGGGGAAGTCTCACTCAAGATTTTGCTTTCAGTTTTATTGTTGTCATTTTTATTATTTGAAGTTTTGCTGGTAGCTTCATTCAATCCTCTACTGAGAATTGCATTCCAATCTATGGCGGCAGTTTTATTCAAATTATTGGTGTCATTGTCATTATGAGTTTTGCCGGTAATCGCATTCGACATCTTGATGATATTTTCCTTCATAATTTCGCTGATTGTCTTCTTTTTCTCATCAGGATACCATACACTACCATCTGGTCGTACTGCTGTGAACGTAGGGGTGACTACGTTTGTCTTCGTCGATGAGGATGATTCAACAATTGGGTTAAGTTTTATGACACTCGTTTTCCTGGGGTTAGTTCTAGCGGCAGATCCTGCGTTCGTCCGTAATAACTTATGCGGAATGACATCTTCTTTCAAGCGTAAACGCTCACCCATCGTTTTCCATGCTGTGAAATTTTCCATATCGTTAGGGAGCTGCATAGAAAAACACATTCGAGATCAGTTTAACCAGTCAATAAATACAGGGTGTTAGTTGAGTATGTACCATACATTTAACAGACGATTCTTTAGGTAATTTTGAGACGAAATGTTCATATAAACATGGGTCCACATATCCTTCGTTCTCAAGATACAGGGTGTTGAAATAAAAATTAAAAAAAGTTATTCCTGAATATCTTAAATATCCTTTACCTAATTTTGTTGTAATTTGGCAATGGTATTTATAACATCAAGGAGCCTGAACGTGACTCAATTTATTAAGTCCAATAGCGTCTCGAGCGGGATTTGAACCAATATTTTTGACTTAAAAATGTACGCCACTTACTTTTGTGCAATTTTCATTACTTCATTGGATTGAGCAATTAGAAATACAACTTTCTTGTCTCGTGAATTTTTTTCGTATCTTGCTTAGTTTTTAAGAAAAAAAAGTCGACCTAATTGTATATCCCTGGACCTCACAAGGAATAATAATATGGGAAATTAAATGTTTCTTTTAGAAATTATTATTTTTACAATTTTTCATTACTAATTATGTAACAATAACAACAAATATAAAATAACATTAACATCTAGACTAACGAATGGCACTAAATCAAGTGTTGGAAATGGCCTCTTTCGGCTTCAATAAAACCGTCTAGCCGCCGCATTATTGAATTTCGCACTCTTCTGAAAATACCATTAATAATATTCAAGTGTTGCCTTGGAAAACGATTGCCGCATTTAATAAACAACTTGACAGTTGTTGTCAACTTTATAAGCTTTTAATTTACAATTGTTATCAAAAGTGTGTTTAGGGGTTATTTTTCGAACCAATTTTGTAAACATGGTTTAATTTACTTAAAGTGAAATGGCAGATATGCATTTCTCTTATGGAATGGCTCACAGAAACTCAAATGCTGCAAGACGCATTTACCATGAAATATTTCCTCAGTGTGTAGTGCCTAATAGAAGAACTTTTGTACGTCTCCTTGCACGACTTTCTGAAACAGGCAGCTTTAAAAGATCAACGGTTGTCATTGGGAGGCCTGCAACACTACGAACAGTTCAAATTGAAGAAGCTGTTTTGAATGAGATTGAAGTCAATCCTCATACCAGTACTCGGATAATAGCTGAAGAACTGAATATTACCCATGTCACAGTGTGGCAGATTTTAAGAGCCCAGCAGCTTTATCCCTATCACATGCAACATGTGCAAGCTCTATTGCCTAGCCTTTTCTAATTGGTTACGCGGTAAAATAAGAAAAAATCCAGGTTTCCTAAGTCGAATATTGTTTACACATGAAGCTTGTTCTTCTCGCACAACAATCACATTTGGGCCGAAAACAATTCACACGCCTTGATAGAAAATAATTTCCAAGAACAGTTTTCTTTTAATATTTGGGTTGAAATTGTCGGTGACCATCTCATTGGGCCTCACTTCCTTCCACCTAGACTTAATGGAGAAGAATACCGAAGGTTTTTAAAATTTGTTTTACCTGGACTTTTAGAAGAAATTCCAGTCATGGAAAGATTCCGTTTGTGGTACATGTACGATGGTGCTCCACCACACTTTAGTGTAGTGGCAATTTTCGGCAATTTTCGGCAATTTTGCTTGAGAAAAAAAAATAACGTTGGTCAATATTTGTTTATAACAAAATGTTAAACTAATAAACTATTGGAAAATAAATAATTTTTTTGCCAGACTATTCAAAAGTGTAAATTATGATTTTTAAAAGCAAAATTATTTCTTAACTAATTATTTAAACAATGGAAATATAAAAACATCGATTTTAAACAATTTAAAATCGAAATTAGGAAAAAAAATTTTCAAAAAAATCATAATTATCTCTAGACAACAAAGTAGCGAAAAAAAATTTCAAAAATATTGAATTTCTCTATTTGTTTAAAACAGTTTATGATGCACTGTTTGGAACCTTTGGTGTAGTAATGAATATTACTGGAGTTTTTTCCCAACATCAAATCGTTATTTTTCAACACCTCGACACGTGTCGTGTCAAAGAGGAAATTTAATCTTCCTCTTTGAAGATGATCACTTGGTGATCGAAACACGTGTCGAGGTGTTAAAAAATAACCATATATTTTAACACCTCGACACGTGTCTTGTCAAAGAGGAAGATTTAATCTTCCTCTTTGAAGATAATCACTTGGTGATCGAAACACGTGTCGAGGTGTTAAAAAATAACGATTTGGTGTTGGGAAAAAACTCCAGTAATATTCATTTGAAACAATTTAATAAACAAATTGCGTAAAAAATTCATATCTTATGTAATTAACTGCCATTGTTTAATGTGAAAACAGACATAGCTAAATATCAATTGAAAAAAATTTCATCAACAATTTTTAGATATTTCATTTTACAATAGTTATAAAAAGTCATGTTTAAAAAATCAATAAATTTTTATGAACTTTTATCGCAGGATTGTATGAAGTATACATATCAAAAGGGCTCAACGAAGTTTAAAATTTATAGGCCAATTATTTATACCTTTTATCCCATTATTTATGCCAACGGAGATTGGAAAAATTGCAGAGTTATTAACGTAAAACTAAATACCATTTTTCAAATCTTATTTTGTTAATAAAAAATGAAATTTTCTACCGGAACCAAAATCTTTCAAAAACATTTTTCTAGAGGTGATTTTAGGACCTTCAACTCTGTTTTTCATGTTTTTGAACTTGTTGATTAGACTTCTTATTGATCGTACGACCATGTGGCGGAAAGAACTCTCGAAGCACTACACCACGATATTCGGAGAATACAGTGAGGAAAACCTTGGCATTTGATCGAACTTGGTGTGCCTTTTTTGGTTGCGGCTCCTCCATTGGGACGGTTGGACTTTGGTTTCGATGCCATAACCATATACCCATGATTCGTCACCAGTTTTACAATTTTAATCCAAAAGCAACAGTTGTGATATACAGTTTGTAGAAGCCAAATGGATTTAATTCATTATTTCGGTTGCGGTACATATTTCAACAAAATCCCAAAGCACATTAAATTTAAATTATGATTTGACATATTTCAACGAAAATTGCTACCGCTACCTTCAATCCCTGTCGTATGACAGGTACAACCCCCATTTTCTTCAATGGGAAATATACGCTTGTGATATATCGTTTGAAAGGCCTCCTCATTCTCTATTCAAAAATGTTATCGCTTTCAAGTTCATTGCAACAATTAAGATACAATAAATTAAAATCATATGGTTACCGAAATTCGATAAAATACACTCAATACTCATTGCAATATACTCAAAACTTTTTTCATGTTGAGGTATTGATAATAAGAAAGTAACCAAAAACCATAGCAATTTTCTTTTTAGATGGTGTCCTTTGAAAAACTGTAAATAATTTCCATGACAACGTTATTTAAAACGCTTTGTCATCTTATTTTGTATGTTACAACATTAATTGTCAGTATTTCAATTCAAGTTTAAAGTTCGTTAACTTCAAGTCTGACAAATTTAATGGTTAGATTAACGGAAATGCATAAAATAACAGTTTTAGAAATGATTGGTTACGGAGATAAAACTCCAACACAACAGGAAATAGCTCGCCTATTTCTTGAGAAATTTTCCAATTTACGGCTCATATCTCAAGAAACAATTAACAAAATAGAGAAGCAGTTTCGTGAGCTTGTTCGTGTGGGCAGATAAGAAAAAAGCTGTCAATGGAATGAGTGATGAAAACTCAAATTAGATGTGATGCTTGAGTTTGAGTATCCACTACATTCAATGTTAGCCATACGTCGATGGTAAACATATTTAAAAAAAAATAAATGCATTTCTATAAAATAATATCTACCCAGGAGCTCATGGATATGTTGGATAATAATATCATCCAATTAGAAGGCGTTATGTTTTCTGATGAGTGTCTCTTAACAGTCATGCTTATCGGCCAAATTTCCACTACTGGTCAACATAAAATCCTCACTGGATGAGAGAACACACGTAATGCCCTCAAGAGGTGAATTCTGTGAATTTATTCATTGAATTAGGATTCCCTAATATACAGGTTAGCTAACTTAAAATATAATGCAATCAACAATTTATATAAATAATACAACTTTATGTACATACATAATTTGAACTGAACAAAAAGGAATTTTTCAATTTCCATCATGAATATATTTTGACAGTTCGCTCTTGAAAATCTTTTATGATCGAGTAGTTTTTTGTAGTTTTTGTATTTGTTGCACTTTGTTCAAATTAAAAGAGAATAAAATAGATGCACAGTAGTCAAAATGGGATTGTATTATTGATTTTTATACCATAATTTTTGTATCTGTTCATAGTTATTGGCGATTCTTGAGAGGAAATATAATATTTTGCAATATTTTTTTCAATATATTTGGTTAGGTTAGGTTAATGTTTGGGCAGGGATTGTAGGAAATCACATCATTAGTCCCTTTTTCATTGAGGGCAACTCAAATGGCGATAATATAATTATTTGGCACTACTCCAAAATGATGTCATTCCAAGTTTACCAAATTTATATCCTGATCCAGGAAACCTTAAGTTCCAGTGAATACGATAGAGTTTCAGCAGAATGAAACACCACCACATTACCAAGTCAATTTCCGGCAAAAACTCGATACAACATTTCCCAATCGGTGGATAGGGAGGCGAGGATCGATTGAATGGCCAGCGCGATCACCTGATTTTTCATCATTAGATTTTTTTAATGAGGATGTGTAAAGAGCAATGTGCAAAAAACTTAACCTTCAAATTTGATTACTTAAAAGAACGAATAACGCTTGCGAATTGGGTATTCATGTAATACTTGTAAATTCGTTCTTTTGCCTTTCAGATATCTTGATAATTCCAGCTGATTTTTTGTAGTTTTATTGCTACTTTCACTGGTACCCTCAGTACCCTGTTCGTTCATAGTACTACTACTGCCTACAGTGCCTACTTCTTGGTTATCTTGGGAATCCGTGAAATCAAAAAAGGCGTCCACATTTTGGTTCCCGCTTTCATCTGATAGGACAGAACATTTGGATATATTGAACGGAAGATCATTTTTCACACTCCATCGATAAACACTATTGATGTCCTCTTGTAGTTTGACACAATCTTGTAAGTTTTCGATCTGTCTATAAAATTTAAGATCATCTGCGAATAAGAGACACTCAGAGTACTTTATATTTTGAGTTAGATCATTAATGAATACAAGAAAAAGTAATGGACCCAAGTTTATAACACTTTAGTTTAAATTTAGGAAGCAGAACTGCTGCTATAATTGAATCTTTCCATTCCAAATTCAATATTTTATCAAAACGAGCATTCCAAATTTAATATTTTATCGAAACGAGTATTTAAACTTTTTATGCACATTTTTGCCAAATGTTGTCCTCCATATTTCAATTCATTTTAGGTCTGGGCAATGAGTTTATCATACTTGTTAATTGAAGAAATCAGACTGGGCGATATGTAGTTCAAGTTCACACATAGCAATATTAAATTTCTTTGTTGAAAAAATGCATAAAGATAGTAAGACTTTAAGGTAATTATTGAACAAATTACCTATTGCAATTGAGTCATAAATACAGTAATATAGGAAAACTGAAAAACAACTAAAATTAAAACGAATATTTTATTTTCAATTATACAGTTATTGAAAAATGGATACAAAAAATGTTCACAAATGAAATGAATTTTATCAGGGTTCTTCATGAGAAATGGATAATTGATATGGGAATTATGATTCAACGAGATTGATTGGTACTTGGTAGCTTTTAGTGAGGTAAGGCGGTAAAATATTTTACCGCCTTAACCCGTTTTGGAGGATGCTGAACTTCGAGTTTGGGTGTCCCAACCCCGTAAACGGAAGAAAACAAGCCCCAAGTGGGGTCTACTGCACTACTGATATATGAGGCACTCTAATAACTCATTTTTTGAGGTGGTAAAGTGCCAAAAATTGTATTTCACCGTTTTCGAAGATGCCCGACAAAATGCAACAAGATATGCCTGCATAAAATGGGGCTGTTTGGTCTGGTTCTCATTCATCGAATAATTTAAAAGTATCCGAAGATCGAAAAAAGTATTCGGTATTCGGAAACTTGCAAATTTGGCCACGGATACGAATTCTGAATACAAAATTTGAAAAATATCCGAATACAGTAAACACCTAAATCCCCTCTATATTTTCAATGATAATTATATAACTACTTATCTTTGTGACTTTTCAAATCTTCATTCTTCAATCTTAGTGTTTTTTTTGTTTATTTTGTATCCCAGGCTCACGAGGAAGACCAGTCTTGACTGATCTGGCTCCTTTTAACCATACTATTACTTTGTTGTTACATTTCATACACATATGGTTAATAAAGGTTACTTTTTTTTATTTTCTAGACTAAGGTGTCTTCAACACCTTAGTCTACCGCGACTGCGACTGCGCCTTACCTTAGTCTACCGCGACTGCGGTAGACTAAGGTGTTGAAGACACCATCCTAGCAAGCCATGATGAACCCCTCAGTTTCCGACTTCCGCCCACTCGACCTGAGAAAAGCGAAGGTCAGGCGCTTTGAAAAGCCAAGGTCTCCATTGTTATTGAAGAAGACCCCATGCATTGGCTTATCCTTGTGTTTCCGCAAAAGTAAGGTGATCTCTGCGGCTTTTATCTGAGCTTTTTGCTGAAAAGGTTTCAACTCGGTGTGGTCACCTCGTTCAGTCTCTGCATGGTCACGGACCATGCAGAGAAGGGGATCCGAACTCCTGACGACTTTACAGGCTGTATCCAGCACCATTCTGTCTACATGACACACTGTCTACATGACCACTCCCCACACCGTGGAGTAAGTGATCATTGGGTCCGAGAATCATGTGCCCTGAGCAAACGCAGTGAGCCAAGAATGACAGCCTTTTGCATCTGTACGGCTAAGATTTCTGCCCTAGTGCGGCAAGCCGGTATTATTTTGAGATTCGAGAGTAGGGAAGACATCATTTCACCAAGGACTCCAATAATCAGAACTCACTGCGGAGTTCGAAAAGAAAATCTCGATATTTTATCCTTTTTCCTCCTCTTTTCTGACGATATTCGTCTCACCGGGAGCTGAAAACTCCACGACAAATATCGTTTTGGTATGATGGTCGAGAAGGACTACATCAGGCTTATTTTTGCTGTTTTTTTATTATTATTATAAACCATATACTTCTCATTTAAAAAGTTGGGGGCTGTACCTGTCATTCGTAGGGAGTTGAAGGTAGGGGTGGCATTTTTACTTTGAAGAATGTCAAATTATAATTTACATTCAACGTGTTTCGAGATTTTTTTAAATATGTACGATAACCGAAATAATGAATTTGTTTCATCTGACTTTCACACACTGTATAATATGTTGTTGGGAATACTATAAATAATCTATTTCGAGATTTTTCTGTCACCATTGTTTTATAAGGCTCTGCTGGTATTACTTACGTCAAAGTGATCCTCGCATATAAATAGTTTGGCATTTGCTGGAAGTACTTCATGATTCAATCTTGCCGCTTGAAGCCATCTTCTTCGTTTGCTTTCATCTGTTGGTACTCTGATAAATGTTTTTGAGCGTGTAGTTGATGACGTATTGCGGCAATTAGTTACCATGCAGACTCGGTGAACCATTTTGTCTTAAAACAGGAGATTGGCGAGAAGAACGCAAAAACACATACACTCAATGTACTAGAACAGAACAACAAAGCACATGTAGGCACCAAAGCTCCTTCGTTCTAAATTGACACTGTACTTCACGTATGGTGTTGTTCAAATCGTTGATAAGGATAACACGAGATTCGTTGGAACTTGATTCGTATAGAAAATAGATCTACCGGATGGTCAACCAAATAGTTATCGAGAGGTGACCAATTTTTATTTCGAATGATATTACTAGTGAACCATATGAAATTACCTTGAGGTATTAGATGAGTCTTATGAAAATTAGTGTAAATATTCGTTTTGAGGGCACCCGGCGATTTTGAAAAAATGTTTGAGTGTACTACGTATTTTGATGCGTAGATTACGAATCCGAAAGAAAAAAAGCGGCGCTCTCCCTTATTAACAAAGTTACGGCTGTTCAAAGTTCAGAAAAGGGCAACTTTTCAGCCTTCTTTTTTATAAGATGAACTATTTAAAAACACAAGCATTTATTCACTAGGTCACCTTTACACATTATTTCTCCTTCCTTGACACTTTACACTTCAACAATCAACATTTTTCCAATAAAAATGTTAAAAAATGTACGGAGCTGCTTTTTGGTTATATATCTCGTAGACCTGTCCGAGATGCTGTCAAAATTAAATCAAAATGGCGCCTGTAGGCACACATGTTGTTGGTTCTAATGGAAAGAAAACTAGAAAAGTACATAATCAACTTGTGTTTGTGAGTGATTGTGTTGCTGCTTGCTGAAATTCGTTGTTTGAGGCTGATTTTACATATCAATCATCCTTCATAACATAAAATCATGCCTACAACGTGTTGTAAATTGCGGAAGCCGTGGGGATCGTGATCGGGTGAACTTTTACAAAATATCTAGTGAATTCCTGCTTTTATCAAAGGAAAGAAGCAGTTGAGTTGCATCCAATTGAATTAGAAGCAACTAGAGCCATTGCACATGTCAAGATTCATGTAGAAGGAGTAATTGATTGCATTCGTCAAAAATATAGGATTATGTGCCAATTTCTTTGCTTTTTTGTGGTGAAGATGATACGATCTTGGATGAAATAGTGAGTGTGTGTTGTGGATTGATTAATATCTGCCCACCAATAGTACCTTTGAGTTAGATTGAATTTATAATAAAAAACCTTATGAAATTTTTGGGAAAGAACGTTTTTGGCTTTCTATTACTCCATCTTGATACAAAAAAAATGAGGGAATCTTCCAAAGGAAGGAAGGAAGTAATCAATTTGAAAATAAGTTACTCTATACATGGATGTGTAGATCATGCAAAGAAGTAACTTTCAGACACAAACTGAAAGAAAGTCCTCATTTAAAGTAGAACTCATGTGAATGATATCTGATTTTTATTCCACAACGAATGTTTGAAATACAAACTGAATAGAGAAAAGTATCTTCTGTATAATTCAGTGTTCATATAGAAGTATTTGTTTCGAAAGAATTTTTTTCTTTCGTGTAATTCAATGTGAATATGAAAATAGCTGTTTCAGGAGGACTTTCTTTCAGTTTGTGCCTGAAAGTTACTTCTCTGCATGATCTACACATCCATGTATAGAGTTACTTATTTTCAAATTGATTACTTCCTTTCTTTGGAAGATTCCCTCATTCTTTTTTTGTATCAAGATGGAGTAGTAGAAAGCCAAAAATTTTCTCTCCCAAAAATTAATCACTCCTAAAAATAACCCTTTCAATTCTTATAAAATTGCTCTCGTAAATTGTATATACTTAGTCTAGATTTGTATTTTTGTTCCAACTGTCGTGATATGTTTTATTTTATTGTATTATTGGAAAATCATATTTCAGATCATAGAGCTGAATTATAATAAATTTTTGGTATATTCAATTGGTACGTAGGTCAGAAACTAGGTTTCGTTAGTATATAGAATATTTTTCAGTCCAAATACTTTCAAAGATACATTAATTCAATAAAACACAAAATAAAGTCATATTGTTTTGTTCATTCTCCCCGTCAGACGAGAAAGTCAGTTTCAATACCCATTCATTGAACAAATGATCCACAATAATGGTTATTTTGAAAAAGTGATTTCCCACATGGTGGTTCATAACAATATGGAAACTTCAAGTATAATTTTCCAGTTCAAAGAAATGTTCACATACACAGCATTCCTTGAATGAAACTGAGCATTCAACAAATGTTCTTGAGAAGAGTCAGAAATCAGTTAACAAGAAATAAAAAACCATTTGAAAGAATAGATATATGATGAAATTCAGCATTGAATATGAACATGAAAGCCACATACAAAAACTGTTTGATGGGCCTGCACTCTAGAATTGGTTGATATATTGAATTGGTTGATATATTTCAGGCCATACAGTACAGCAGCAACGTGATTGCAAACTTCAGAATGGCCTGCCTGGCAGATAAAATGAGCTAAAATTATTGCACCATCTTTCTCGAATATAATCCAGACTTGCAGTGCAGTGTTCATCCTCTGTGAATGCTTGACCTAAAATTGAGATAGATATTCAGACAAAATTATGAATAAATCAAGTTTGAAAAATATCTAAATACCTTGGCAATCACAACAATGTGCTCTCCGATTGACTTTGCTTCACAAATATTTGTAGCCAGTCAAACTTTTATAGGCCTTCATCTGCTGATTTGTATAGAAACTATGAGTTAGCACCAGATAAGAACTCATATCGAAAGCAGTAACTGGTGGAAAACATTTTATAGAACTGTTCATTTCTTCTGAAATGAAAGTAAAAGGATTCATGCACTGTATCACTCTGATTTTATCTTTGTAACGCACAGCAATGTCTTTGTTTTCACGTTCCAATGTTAGTGAATAATCACTTTTAATCACTTTTATTAAAAACAGCCATCATAATTATTTTCACAGCATCCAAAGATAACAAAACACGAAAAAACAGTGAAGGACCTATGTCATTGTATTCATTGTGTGCCTACAGGCGGCCATATTGTTCGAGAATTGGTCACGTGTTCTGGACATCCTTGTATTTTACGTTTTTGAGGTTAATAGCATAGTTGGTACGATTGAAGTAAGCATTCCTTTTTAAATTAAGTTTTTTATAAGAAAAATGTTGATTGTTGGAGTGAAAAGTGTCAAGGAAGGAGGAATAAGTTATAAAAGTGACCTAGTGAATAAATGCTCGTGTTTTTAAATAGTTTATCTTGTGAAAAAAAAGGCTGAAAAGTTGCCCTTTTCTGAACTTTGAAGGGCCGTAACTTTGTGAATAAGAAAGAGCGCCGCTTTTTTCATTCGAATTCGTAATTCGCATCAAAATACGTAAGTACACTCAAACATTTTCCAAAATCGCCGGATGCCCTCAAAACGAATATTTACCAAAATTAGATTTGGATCTCAGTGATTATAACAGAATTGAATTAACCTTCTAACGATAAAAACGGGTCAACAAAAATTACGAGCAAACAAAATCCCAGAACCGAAAGTCATATCAGATTTGTTTAGGCTCGCATAAACTACATCTTGGAAATGAATGAAAGTAAGGAAATACAATTAGGAAAAAACTGCAGTCTACTGCTGGCAGTTTAACGATAGAGTCGATTGGCTCGTGTGAAATTTCACAAAAAGTATTCAAACAGTTTTTATACTCAGTCTTAACGGAATCTTGAAGTGATAAACTTACCAGCTGTATACAGGGTGTTTCAAATTCGACCCTCACCATTGGGATCTCGGAAACTATGAGAGATACGAAGATGGTTAAATGGAGGCAAAGTTGCGCATTTACCTGACTAATAATATGTTGTTGAGACAGTCTTGAAATTCACAGTATATCCGGAGATATCCGGAAAAAAACAGAAATTTCGGAAAATGGTTTTTGTTTTTCTGGTTTTATTTTTGAAGGATTCGAAAATAAATCACACTTTCGCAATGCCACTTTTTCCCTGCTATGAAATAATGTTTTCAGATTTGCTATCCGACGTTTCGTCTTCCACCCACCATCATCAACTTTATTTTTTCTCATAGGCGCTATATTGGATTCTTTCTGTTTTGAATAAAACCAGATTTTACCTTTTCAATGATGTATCATAAGTTATCATTCATTTTCGAAAAGTTGGAGATATTGAAATAAATAATTCTTATCATAATAGGCTTTGACTTTGAAGTTTCTGAATTTGACTTTTAATTTGTTACAGTCAATGACATTTTGTTACTGCACAAGTCATTGAATTTTTTTCGAAAAATGGCATTCACGAATGAAGAAAAAAGAGATATGATGCAAATTTATTACAAATACGATAGAAACAGTGTTAGGGCGTTAATTTCGAAAGATAATTGACATGTAGATTTCCCCGGGTTCATTTTTACCTGCAAATTATTAATTTTTATTGAAAGGGACACAATGTCCAACTCACCTCATACATACCTCATTTATTTTTTTTAGTTTCCTAGCCAATTTTGTCGTTGTATTTTTTCTTCGGCTTTTCAAATGAACCAAACTCGGTGAGATTTTGATCCAATAACTTGAACGTAGTTAGAGGTGGTTGTCGTCTTTCGACACATTTCCGATGTTCTATCGTATTTGTTATCAATTTGTATCATATCTCTATTTTCTTCATTCATGAAAGCCATTTTTCGCCAAAAATTCAAAGACTTGTACAATAACAAAATGTCTTTGAGTGTAACAATTCGAAAGTCAAATTCAAAAACATCAAAGTCAATGCCTATTATGATAAGAATAAATTTTTTTTCAATATCTCCAATTTTCCGAAAAAGTATGATACCTTATGATACATCACTGAAAAGGTAAAATCTGGTTCCATTCAAAAGAGAAAGAATCCACTGTAGCGCCCATAAGAAAAAATAAAGTTGATGATGGTGGCCCGAAGCCGAAACATCGGATAGCAAATCTGAAAACACCATTATGTAGCAGGAAAGAAGTGGCAATGTGATGGTGCAATTTATACTCGGAATTTCAAAACTTTCTTAACGGCATATTGTTATTCAGGTAAATGGGCAACTTTGCCCCAATTCAACCTTCTTTCTAACTCTCTAAGATCCCAATGATGAGGATCGAATTTGAAACACCCTGTATATCTGACAGGTCCCTAGCTGGAACTGATCAGATGTCATTAGAACCAACCTCCGGAATCGTTTCAGATGACAGACATGTTCAACGAAAGGGATATTTCTA